CCCTTTCCAACAGCTGCCCTTTTTCTTCATGAGTAAGCGATTGATTTCGTATATCTCCACACCAAGTTCCAGAACTCTACCATGAACACTGCCAAAGATATGCAGTACGAAAAATTCGGTTTGTATGGAAGATGCCACGACCCCTTTTCCAAGAGTTCCAATTTTTCCTCAAGAGTTGATTGCGTATATCTCCGTACCAAGTTCCAGAACTATACCATGAACACTTCCAGATATATGCAGTATGAAAAATTTGGTTTGTATGGAAGATGCCACGCCCCCTTTTTCAATAGTTCAAACTTTTCTCCAAGAGTATGCGATTTATTTCGTACATCTCCATACAAAGTTCCAGAACTCTACCATGAAATTTCCAGAGATATGCAGTGAAAATTCGGTTTGTATGGGAGCTGCCACACCCCTTTTTACAATAGCTTAAATTTTTCTCCAAGGGTATGCGATTGAATTCGTATATCTCCATACCAAGTTCCAGAACTCTACCATGAACACTTCCAGAGATACGTAGTATAAAAAATTTGGTTTGTATGGGAGATGCCACACTCCTTTTTACAATAGCTTAAATTTTTCTCCAAGGGTATGCGTTTGATTTCGTATATCTCCATACCAAGTTCCAGAACTCTACCATGAACACTTCCAGAGATACGTAGTGTAAAAAATTTGGTTTGTATGGGAGATGCCACACCCCTTTTTACAATAGCTCAAAGTTTTCTCCAAGAGTATGCGATTTATTTCGTACATCTCCATACAAAGTTCCAGAACTCTACCATGCACACTTTCAGAGATATGTAGCATGAGAAAGTCGGTTTGTATGGGAGGTGCCACGCCCCCTTTACATATAGATTTTTTTAGCCTAAAACCATCCTTGGGACACGTGCGGCAGGTGGCAGTTTCAAAAAATTCGGTTCAGCCGCTCTCGAGCCTTGCGAAAACTAAAAAACGGCTTTCAAAATATGTATTAGTTGAGATATATTATATATTATAATTATATTTTGACAGTCTCCGTTGTTTCTGATTGGCGCAAAAAAATCTTGCTTAGTGACGAATTCGCCCCTTGATATGGTGGTTGCTCAAAGCTATTTATATTCGAAATTGCATGAAAACTGGAAAACAGGAATCTGTAAGCTTATCCAGGCAAAAAGCTACCTAAGTACCGAATTTTAAGCAAATCGGACCATAAATATGATTTCTTCGAATAGATCGGTCCCTGGTCCACTTCTCAGAAAACATGGATCATATATGCCAATATATGCTAAAAAGCTACTTACGTACCAAATTTTAAGCAAATCGGACCATAATAAGAATTTTTCGAATAGATCGGTCCCTGGTACACCTACCCGAAAAAGGAATTTTTTTAGCCTAAAACATGGTGGTTACTGAAAGCTATTTATATACTACATTTCATGAAAATCGGACCAGCCGTTCGCGAGATTTCGGGTATAAAAAAAGGGCTTCTCTTTATATAATTAGTATAGAAGTATAGATTAAACAAAAAATATCAAGAAAACCTTGTCGCTTGTGCAAAAGCACACATAGCGTTGCAGTACTGATGTTTTCAGTCCGGAAGGATGAGGATCTAAGCCGAAATTAGACACAGGTATGCAAAAAAAAAACCAAGGGTTACCGCCAGATTTGAAAAAAGCGAATATCAGAAATGAAAGAAAAAATAATAACAAAATCAAAATTTAACTTCAAATATGAAGACGTCAGTTACCTGGTATACTTTATATTATTTTACTATGGATCACCCATCTTAGGCAGGGCACGCTTAAATTCCAATCGGTAGGTGTACTTTCGTCAGACCATATTTCGAATAAAAGTTTGTGCATTATTTGTGTACACCTCACTAGCTGCTCTATGCTAGTGATGTGCTGAGTCAATACTTTTAAGTATTGATCGATATTCGGTACCGACTTAACATGTATCCAATACTCTCGATACTCGGTACCGAAACATATATGTTTCGAATAGAACCGCACATAGGCCAAAAATATGAAAAAAAGGTTCAGGGGAGACTCGCCTATCAAATCCCGAATGTAGGAGCCAATAGAGCTTTTAATACTGATTCAAATGAAAGATGTATATATGTCAGTTCGAGGCCATAATGCAGAGAAACTCTTACTTGTTTGAAGCATTTTTTTTCAGCTAAATCGGACGATATCATTTCTGTAGGCCTGGGGGCAGATTCTGTAACCAGTTAGCGAAAATTTTCGAATCGGTCTCGGTTTTGTTGACGAATGATACGAAATATTTTTACGTCAACAAGTGCGATATCGATCCGAAACTTGTCGCTAGCTGGTTGCATAATCTCCCCCTGAAAGGCCTCTTCATCCGTCAAAGCATTTTTCTTGAACCTTGGATCGACTAAGGTTAAAAATGTTGAAATAATATTTCTCTGTTGCGATAAGTTCAAGTGTTTTATCCAATATCATATAAATTAGTAATGAAAGTATTTTCTAAACTTGAAATACATATAATGGCGAAGGTTTAACGTAAAGAATTGGTATCGAGTACCAAAAAGGAAGTATTGGGTACCGAAATCTTTTATAAGTATTGGGTACCGACAATTCAGCACATCACTACTCTATGCGCTATTTGAATAGCTCAGCTGGCAAATTATCGGATACTGCAGCTTTATTATTTTTGCTCCGTGCTATTGCTATTCGAATCTCGTCATGGTCAGGGTAAGTGACATCGAATCCGTCGTCTTTGATTGGGGGCTCCGGGTATTCGTTAGCGCCGTAGTTTTCGCTATTGCTGCCATTCAGCTTGTAGTTAAGTGTTCGCTCTATAACGACTAGTACATGCACCCGACTAGTTCTTTGACACCCGCTTTCAATAACTCAGCTGAAATGTCACCATCTTCAGAGCTCTGCATCATTCTACCTTTTCTCAACTCGTCTTGGTCGAGTATAGTATACGTAAATTTATTCACCAAATGTCCAACCATTGTTTCCATTGAGAAGTGAGCCCTTCAAATTTTAAGTGTTTACTCAGGACATTTGTAATCGGATTTCCACCCTCGTCTATCCAGAAACCAGCACCGGTTTTGAAACCAATTGCCTTATTGCTGCCTTATTTTCTAATAAATATTATGGAGTTTAACACAGTGATAGCAAAAACTAATGTTAAGACATGAATACAATTAAACGTTGTAATTAAGAGTGTTCGCTATGCAAAAAACCTGTACGTGTTGGTACCAATTGTTACCAAATCGTGTTCGTTTTAGCCAAAAACCCAGTAAAACTTGCAAGGAGAGAGCGCAATTTTGACAATTCATTTGGAGGGAAGTTGCAAGTGCGTGCTGAAAAACTTTTGCCAGCATTTGTGGCACACGGTTGCATTTTTGTTAACATTAATTTGAATCAACAAGGTCGTTAAATTTAAAAATGGACAATCTTGTTGCGATTAACTAATGAAAGAAGTATGCAAATATTTTTTTATTCAATTAATTTAATTAATCCCAAACATTTGAAAGGTACTCGGCTGAAAAAGCTTTATTCGTAATCGGAACGCAGTCGACACCACTGTCGATATAGGAAAATCGACAGTGACTTCCACAAAGAAATTGAAGCGTATGTTGCAGAAAGTCAGAATAAGAAGAAATGTGTAAACGTATAGGTTCGGTTTGGGTTTCTATCTGAAGTAATTTAAAAAATGTATTATGCTTGAAATGCAACCGTAGACTTCAGCTGGCAGTGAAGCTTGCAAATGTTTGCTAATTCCTGTTCGCGCAAAACTTAGTAAGTTTCTCTCTTTGGGAGAGTAAGATACCTTATTCTCTGAATTTTGTTACCTACTGGCATTTGCATAGCGAAAAGAACTATTGTATTATAAAATATGAATCTAAATACATGCATATTATTAATTTTCCTGGTTTAAGGCCTGTATGCAGCTCTCAAGAAAAGCAAAAACTCAATATAAAATGACGTACAAGAAATGGCTAAGAAATTTTCTGGAGTCAAATTTCCTTAAGGCAGTACGCAGTTCTTAAGAAATTTGCTACGCTTTCTACTACGGTTTTCTAAAAATTTTTTGGGTAAAAAAGCACAAGGTAACTTGCTGTCTCCACAGGCAAAAGTTTTTATCTTGATAATGTTATCAGGCAAAATTTTGCCCATAGAGACCGCATATTGCTCTTGGCAAGCAATAATTATCAGAGCTTTTATCTTGATAAATAGTGCCAGCAATTTGGTACTTGCCAGCTACATTTTCATTTGCGCGATAGCTTCGTGGAGACAACATTATCGATATTTCAATATAAAAGCAAAAATTTAACTGTTTTCTATTAAAATATGTGTTATTATTTGCTTGGGTGTGAAATAGCATATTTTTTAAACTTTTTAATTGATGAAATCCGGCAAAAATTGCCATCTTATAAATGCTTTTATCAAGATAAAAAATGCCCACGCACAAATATTGCCGCTGATAAAATTTTTATCAGGCAATAAAAATGACAGTTGGTAGGCAAAAACTTTTGCCTGTGGAGACGGGCCGTTACCCAGGTTTGCAACAGAAATATATGCCCGTTCCATTATTCCTTGAGGAAAGAGCTAGGCAACAGGCTGTGAAGTATCAAAAACGTCAAAATTCCTTGGACACGCACACGAAATAATTACAATCTTTTCTTGACCGTTTTCTTGAGAGCTGCATACAGGCCATTAACATGCATGTTGCAAACGTTGAAATAATTTTGCAATGAGGTAAATGTGAATGTCAAATACGTTTATGGGTTAGCGTAAAGCAAGTGATGTTGGGCTGTTATTAGGGGTATTCTCGAAATCTTGCAAAGCCATTGCACCTAGCATGGATTGCATAACTTCCAAAAACACACAACAACAAAATACATGAGAAACAACATTTCCTATCGCTGCAAAATATGCAACGCCGAAACCCATGTATATATTTTGAGAAAAAGCTTAGCAAGAAAAATGCAACCCTGTGCAAGTTGTTTTGTTGTTGGAATGGCTACATATTTCTCTCATACCTCTCATTTCGCTCACTTCATTTTTTTGCTGTATCTTGTTATTGCAAGACTTCGATAATACCCCTATTGTTAATCTGTAGTCGCAGAAAAGTGGGAAAGTCACTAAATAGTTCTTTAACAACACATTAAAAAGTTTTAACACACATATATCAGTCCATATGCGCTCGTATTAAACAGTACTAGGTTAGAAAAATAAACAAAAATTTCCATTACTATTTTTTACAAAAAAATTTACTTTTAAAAATTGCTTTTAAAGCTACGCCTAATTCAATTATTCTCCGCGACTGCAGATTCCCATTAAATCATTAAGATGAGATTTAGCATAAATTAGTGGTTTTAGGGGAAAAAACCGTTAGGTGTAAGTACAAGACAGGAGTTGCCACTCTTCAATAGACCCCGTATCAGTGCCAAGTCATCTGGTGTCAAAGACCATCCACTCAGCTGTCCAACCGATTGCAATTCCGGACAACGATCCATAAGAATCTAAGTATTAAAATGAGGTTTTGAAATCTAAATACATATTTGAATAACTTCGAGTATTTTATTGATTACTTTGAATTACCTCAATTGATTGAACGGTCAAATTTGGGGCCAATGTAAACCAAATGTCTTCGAGCTCATTGAATTCGTGCTCCACAAATATGCTAAATAAAACAAAAGAGTGAATAAGGTTCTGTTTATTCTTTATGGAAAAAATATATATTTTTTTAATGCATATTTTGTTTAGCAACTCAAAACTTATTTAAATGAATTGGACGAGATCAGCACAACAGGATTAATAGTTCCCAGACACAAACTAAATACAAAGCTGAGAATTACCCAAATCGATCACGCTTTCGACGGCGCTTAGACCCATCGTACACAAGGTTACGCAAATCTTCGATACCCGACGATTTTAGTCGACTACCGCAATACAAGTTCATAGAGGTTCGTCCGCAGGCACATGCCGCCAACGTTTTGTTCATTTGTCGACGACACCAGTTGCGCGATCTCCGAGATTTCACTTGAAAACATTTTGTAAATTCGTGTTAGCCGGAGTGACCGAATAGAAACTCGAGTCTTACGATTCAAAGACGTGTGTACGGACCGTGTGTTACAAGGAACTCGCGACGTATGTAGGTATAGAGATTTGTAGCAAAGATTTGCGTAGCTTTGTATACAAAGAGCCTTGCATTAACTGATACTGCTGCTGAAATGTGTAGTATCCTCGGTGCACAAGAAAAGCTGGATAGAAGCTTAAGAGCACCGGAAACCAAAAAAAATGCTAAGCTCAAGGCGAATTTACACAAGGTGGTGTTGATGGCGAATTTAGATTTTCGCCGCGGTACTTCCAAATGTCAAAATGATGTGTTTGTTGTAAACAAGGCGAATTCATTTTACAACAAACACATCATTTTGACATTAAGAAGTACCGCGGCGAAAATCTACACCACCTTGAATAAAGTCGCCTTGGCTAAGCTCTTGACTTTCACTAATGGCCGTTTGCACCACGACGGGTAAATTCTAACTCCAAGCTAAACATCGTTATCGACACCCAGCCTATAACGTGCGATCGACAAAGCAGTGCTTAACTGAAGGATGTCTAGTTAACGCTAACTAACTAGACAAGGTGCAAACGGCCCTAAATGAAGGTCACCCGGCGAACAAAGATCACGCTCTACAAATCCCATATCATGTGCGCAATTTTAAATGGGCAGAAACGTGGATGATATCGAACAAATATGAAAAAGATGTGAGGCTTTCGAAAGAACTATTCTATAGCTCTGTTCGCGTACGCATTATTTAGTAAAATCCAGTGCTAGTTTTATTGGTTTTTACTGTATGGCATTTTCGTACGAAAAAACTTGCAAGCAAGCAGCAAAAGAGAGAGAATTGAGAGAGCAAAAATGACAGCTGAGCTCGCAAGTTTTACTGGATGAATTTTTACTAGTAACTATTTGCTAGTAAGAAAAATAGCTGATGGCATGATGCTTAATGCAATTCGCATTACCAAAAGAATTGTTTGTGGTGCTTTTAGAATTGCAATTGGCAAAATAAACCTATTTAAATATATATTAAGATGGGAAATACTATTTTTCTTAGAAAATTACTTCGGAAAATAACAAATTAATCAGCTGTTCATAAAACTTGGAACTTCTTGCTGGTTTTGCACTTTCGTACATTCTTTCAAATTTTCTCTCATTGGGAGTAAATATTGGCTTACTCTCCGAAATTTGGTTACTGGCAAGTTACTGGATATTTTTTGCTGGAGAATATGAAAACACAACTTATGTTAGCGTAGACGACGGATACCGAAGAAAATCGTGCGACGAACTTTATGTGGTTTATAAAAACGTATTCAATGTGAAGCGCTTGCGCTGACTGGAAATATTAAAATATGTATTAATTCGGCAAATATGGCTGGACAACGAAATCAAGGGCGGCCACGATCACAAGGAAGAGCCAATTGCAGAAGGTCCTGTTTACACTTCGGGTGAACAACTGACGGAACTCTGAAAAAGTGGAAGGCAATAGGTGAAGTTTTTTTGGTCTCGGCCCAAAACCGAAAAGGGTTTTAGTGGCAAATACGAAGAAGCTTTCCCCGAACACGAAATCTCGCTCCGTTAAAGCTATAATCGACGTATGTAAATGACGATTGATCACTACAAATTCCACACGACGAGCTTTAGTTACCTTCGTATCTAGTAATTTGGAAATTACACAGGAAAAGCAAACCACTTTTTAAATTAACATAGAACACGATTACAGAGCTGTTTTTAAGATGGCAAAACATGTCGTATTTTTTAATATGTAATTTGGTGGGTCAAAAATCCGCATGCTCATATAATTTGTATGAAGCCTACATAAGCTAATATTTCAATAATTGTCATCACGCTTAATCAACGGTAAGCCTAGGAAACGCGCTGTTTCGACTGATTCGGGCCAAATATAAGGGGTAATAGTTGAGTTGGTTTTAGAGAGGAATATATTCATACATAGGTACGTTGGGTATATCGTGGTAGAATTATTTTAAGTTGTAGTTGGATTGGAAGAGGTTGTTGAATATAGTCGTGGATCTCGTTGGTAGCCACTTTGGCTGAGTGGTTGGTGGTGCGTACTATAACTCCGTAGGACCAGGGCTCGATACCTGATCCGGGCAACATCTAAATTAGAAAAAAAATATTCTAACAGCGGTTGCGCCACTCAGCGGACAATGGCACACCTCCGAGTGTATTTCTGCCATGAAAAATCTTCTCACAAAATCCATTTGCCCTGAGGCAGCGTAAAACTGTAGGTCCCTCCATCAAATATATAGCAAAAGTGTAAGCGATAAAATATTATTATTATTATCTCGTTAATGAGTTTACTGAGATTCGCTCGAACGTTCGCAAGAGGAGGTTCTACTTCAAGCCAGTGTTAATTCGAATAATCATAGCGGTAGCAGCTGACCAAAATTTGTTTGTTTTATGACTAGAGTTCTAAAGTACCAGCAACAAAGACTTGAGTGCAAAACACTTGAGCAGAAACACTTGAAAAAATATATAAATTCCACGGCAACCACAAGAATGCAGTTGCGAATATAGCAAATCAGTCTACAGCTTTCAGTTGCCAGTGGCCATCTGTAATACCATTTCAGCCACTGGCAACGCAACTGAAGTTCTGCACCCATTGGGCAGATCTGAATTTATCCTCAGGTAGGATTTTAGCCAGTTGCAGTATCCAGCGCGAAGTTGGGCTGTGGTGGGGCGAGTCTCCCGAGGCAGACGAAGTGTCTTTTCGGAGGCCCACGTCTATGGCACCCTACTTAGAATTGCTTACAAAGCATTGTATTATACTCTTTGACCGGCAGCATTTCAGCCTCGTCGAATCAAAACACATTCGGTGACTTTCCAGAGCGCTATGTTTTGGCAAGTCTGTAGTTTCGTCCACTGCGTCCTGCTTTTCCCCGGTGCCCACAAGGGCGCTGCATAGTATAGAACCGGTCGGCCAATTGCCTTGTATATTGCCAACAACGTTTCTTTGTCTTTACTCCAAGCGCTGCCGGCTAGCAGTTTGAGGACCATGTTGCGGCTCTGTATTCTATTGGCAATTGCAGTTATATACGCCGAAAATAAGAGCAGACTATCGAAGATAACTCCGAGTATTTTTTGGTTTTTTACCGTCGGAATTAGTCCGCCATCAACGTTAATTCCCATCTCTAGTCTGGCCTACTTCGTCCAGGTGGTTCATGTAGCGCGGTAGTAGCAAGGCCTCAAGTGTCTTCGCTAATTGGGAAAGGTGTGTTATTAGACGATACAACTCTCCTTTGTTGGCAGGTTCTCCTGTTTGAGCAGTGGGACCTCTCTCCCCATTTTCCAGATGTCTGGAATGATTTAGGACCTTGGTGAGATAATCTACTCCCGCAGGATGACATTTTTTCAGCATCAGCATGCATATTCGGGTTCAATGGATTTGGAGGTTTTCGCTTTCCTGATGGCTCTGTACATGAACCTCACCGCTGATGAAAACTAGTGTTGCATTATCTTCCGAAGAATGTAGTGTGAATTTCGGCTAAAATAGCTTGCGCATTTATTCGGGTCCGATAAGGCAAGCCGCTACGGCAGTGACTACCTTTCGAAACTGGCGTTCACCAGCATATACGTTGTTGGGTGTAGGAAGGTCGACGATGTTGCGCGCAGTAACTTCTGCAAAGCCGTTCCAAGCAACGTTTTTTTAAGTTGACATAGGTTCGTTGTTCCGAGGAAGCAAAGTTAGCAGGTTTATCGATCGCGATGATTATGGCCGATGGTCCGATGCTAACATCAGCATAGATTGCCACGTTATGCTGTTTATCAAACCAGCGCTTACCATTATCATTATCGGGTAAGCTGCTGTAATTGCCCATAAGACGTCTTTAATTGGGCAGAATGCCGAATCATCTAAATGCCAAATATTTCGAGCCCTACATCGCCTGACCGGATAGCAATGCCCTGACTTTCTAGGATGGTATCCCTGCGGTCTATGTCTGCTTCGATAAGACGATAATGCTCTGTGTGATGCGTGATGAACGCTAAGCCACCACCGTTATCTCGCTTGCGATCTCGACGGTGCGCCTTGTATCCGGCGCTGTTAAACAATCTCGAATTGCTGTGCAGCTTCGTTTCTTGGACCGCAGCTGTGAATATTATGGTCTCCTAGATCTTGATCTGAAGTCCATTACAGTTAAATTTAAGTATATTCGTTTACCTTGGGAGACTGATCGCAATGCGGGATGCTAATGATGTGTGGTGTTGCCTGTCGGGAATTTGTTGTGTATTCTGCTATTGGAGGTAGGGATGTTTCGAATGTTATATGTTTTATATTCGCGAATGCGAATGCGAATGTTAGGAATAACATATATATAACCAACTTAAGTCAACGTTTTTATTACTTAAAAGTTTTGTAAATTACACTGGCTTACAGCAAAAATGCTCAATGGATGCCACTACCCAATTTCTATGTAGAATTTCTTGGTGATTCCGAAGATCGAGTTAATTTTTTTTTTCTATGGATACGTTTTCAAGAAACAAAAAATGGTTCCAGTTACTCACGTATATCTTACGAACCAATTTAACAATCTTAAAATCAGACTTTAACGGAACAAAAATTTAAAACATAACAGGCTCTGCTGTTACAATGAAATCAA